CTGTGTTTCATGCCAAGTTGTGGCAGTTCTACTTAGAATGCACTGGAACTAGTTTCCCATAACTAGATTGATCTAACAGGATCAGTCCATCTCCAAGAGGTATGGCACACCTACTGAAGCTGCTAATCAATAATTAATTACCCCCTAGCAGCTTCAGTAGGCGTGACATGCGTCCAAGCCATTCAAGTTGATTACAATTTAGGGAGAATCCTCTCGGAGGTAGATCGCTCCACAGTTAGTATGATAGGGTCTGGGAATGGACCCTAAGTGGTAACTCTTCGGTAACCACAGGAGACTGCTCTTAAAGGGACAAAAACCAAGAGAGCACAATGTCTTATGACATACTGTGAAAACAAGCGAAATTAGTTTTGCGAGGGGATTTGGAAGGGATGGGAGTCTTCAATAATGGCAGACTGGTGACTGCAGTATGGCAACAAATAAAATCTGATGGAATTTATCCACTGATGTTTTTATGGTTGTTTCCTTTTAAGCTGTGTTGAATTACAATCTATTCATCATGTTTTTTTATGTCATTTAATTCTGCATTGTATTCTAAAATGATATTCCTGGTGCACAGTTTCACCTCTATGGCATAAAGGTAACTCCCACCTCGTGAGGATTCTACCACATTTTTTAAGTCTCTTATGACATCACATACTGCCGTCAGCCTCATTTGTTTTCCATGTCACTTAATTCTGCATTGTATTCTAAAATGATATTCCTGGTGCACAGTTTCACCTCTATGGCATAAAGGTAACCCCCACCTGGTGAGGACTCTACCACATTTTCAAGTCTCTTATGACATCACATACTGTCGTCAGCCTCATTTGAGGCTCTCTCGGAAGGTCTCCTTTCTTCTGTTGTTCTGACCACCTTTGTTATAGACATGGAAATTAATGTAAATCTTTGGTTCTCGAAGCAAAATTAAGTTCTAAAAGTTCAACATTTACCTCTTTGGCTATGTCATAAGTAAAAATGGACCAAACAGTCGGTTGCGCTGGGACTGCACATCATCATGGAAACTTACCTAAAATGTCAAGGTAGCATCTAATTTCCAGCTCTTTATTGCAACCCACATGGTTTTGTGTCTGTATTTTCTGATACCCTTCTCATGTAATGAATCCTGTTTTTCATGATAATTGTATTTGTAAGTCTTCTAGCGCTGGACTGGCTTCCTAAGGCTGGAAACTGTGATCGTAATGTCTGCTAAAAATGTGGCTCACACTGTGCACAGCCAGGCATGTTGCGATTGTAATTGTCTACATTTAAATTCTCTCTCTACACACTTTATCTTCCTGGTTTGTTGTAGCCAGAGTCTGAAGTCTATAAACCAAGATTCCATGTTGTGAGGCTGGATTCAAGAGAGAGCTGCCAGGCTGCTTAATATCCTTATATTTTGGATAAAAAACACATTTAATGAATTGAAAGGTTGCTTTATGACTAATGGTGAGGCTGAAGTTCTTTTAGAAAACTAACAGATCGTCTCAGCTACATATAATTGGGTCCATTTTTACAAAAGTACATTTACCAATAGTTGGTGAACCTTTAAGACCAAAACTTGTGCTGTCACTATTATTAAGTAACCATAAAGCCTATGTACTATATGTGAGATTTTTTTTTTTAATGAGAAAACTACTCTCTTGAAACCAAATAGCAAATGTGACCTCAGTTTCCAAAATGTTAGAAAAGGAACAAAAATTTATGCAAAAGATTTAAAAATCTAGGACCTCTAAACCTGCTGGTGTTGCCACAAAAAAAGAAGTCACTATACTCTCAGTGATCAAGCATTTGATAATCTACACCAGTCACTTCAGCTACCACCTTTCTTGATTATCACCTGTCTACTTCTACATCTACAGCTAAACCACAGTTAAACTAGTCAGAAATAGAGTTGAACCACAATGACCAGTGTAAACACTCCTACTTTGTCCACTTAACCAAAACCCATGTGTTGACAGTCTTTTTACCTGTTTGTACTAGTCCACCTGGTTTTGCGTGAACAGGAAGTCCTTTCTGTCATCGTCTGGCTTTTGAACAGACTCAATTACTCTTTTAGCAGAAAAAGTAATAATAAGAACATGGGCTTGAAATGGTATCTTGGCCCTGGGGGGGGTTCAGATGTCTTTATTCGGTCCCCAAATAATAATAAAATCTCTTCTAATAAAAGTATCTGAGGTTCATCCTTTCTTCTAAAATGTAAAGGAAGACAGGGTGGTCCTTGTGACTCAGTATACATTTGGAACTAAATTATTTGAAATTATTAGAAATGGCATGTGAAACATCAGATTTAAGTGCAGCGAGGGGTCAAACTATGACGCACGAGTAGGACAAAACAGGGTAGGTTTTTGCAGAAAAAATTAACACAAAAAAGGGAAAAAAGTAAAAGAAAAAAAGAAAAAAAAAACAGATAGGATACATTGCAGGAAAAAGGCCAAAGTGAGCTTATTTTGATATTGTTTTTGAGCATGTACCTATTTAACTCGAACCAATGTTTCCCAGCAGTTTTGCGTGTCAGACAAGATCCATGGGTCAAGTTCAACTGGTGGCAAATAACAAAACACATGTTTCAGTAGATCTTGTTAGAGGACCTCAGGGCAGCGTTGAATGCCAGTACATTAAGTAGAAGGTCTATCATGCAACCTGTAAGCAAGGCAATGGGAGAGGGGAGGGCTAAGAGGTTGGAAAGCATCATGTCTTTGTCCAAAAAAGTCTGCTCAGAATCAAAATCTGATCTAGATTATATGCCATTTCCCAAGATGGGTCAACTAAGGGGACAAAAGATTCAATTTTTCAGAAAAAAAAACAGTGTTTCAGTAGATTTTGTTAGTGGACCTCAGGGCAGCATTGAATGCCATTACAAGGTCTATCATGCAAGCTTGTAAGCAGAGGAATGAGAGATGGAGGGCTAAGAGGTTAGAAGGTACTGCATTTTGTTCGAAAAAAAAAAATCTGCTTAGAATCAAAATGTGATCTAGGTTTTATGCCATTTCTCAAGCTGGGTCAACTAAGGGGATGAAAAGATCCACTTTTTCAGAAAAAATCTTTGAAATTGCTGACTACAGGCCTGTCATGGATGAAGAAGACTCACATTTCTTTTCAGTCAGTTTTAGATATTGGAACTTGGGGTATCGAATTTCATAAGGCACATATATTTGCTACATTATAGATAAACCCCCACCTTCTCTTTACTTCACCCTATCCATTAATTCTGAACCCGTTTTCCAGATTTAAGTAAAACAAAACTGGTGGTCTCAATCAAAAAAATTCAATATCCTTTTGCTTACATACTAAATAAACTAACAAGTCTAATCTATACTTTATTTCTACAACTGATTTCCAAATATTTTCCAAATAAAGTCTAAATCCCCAAACATGGCATATCCTTTTTTTTTTTTTTTTTGAAGACACAAGGTCACAAGGAATAACAAAACTACTAGTAATTTCATTTTGATACCAACAGTCCATCTCCTCCATCTTTCCATTTAAACAGTATTTTTTTTTCAATGTCTGATCACACAGTTCTCTCTTATAATTGAAAAACAACGCCGCTTTGTTGATTTCGTACTATCAATGATAAAATTCGAGCATTCTCTCTCAATGGACTAAATTTCATATCATTTTCAGGGTGGATCCCGAGATATTTTCTGAGTCTTCCAAATTTTCTTCGTTGATCCATCCTCCATTTATGACCATACATTCGACAGAAAAAAATTAAATGCTGTCAAAGTAAACTTGAAAAAGACTGACCGTCTTCCAGAAGACAGCTTCCGTCCACTCTGATATTTCACATTACATACTATATGTATGTTAAGCCTCTCTCAGCCTTATTGCTAAACCTTGTAGTTGATTATTCTCAATACTAACCACCAGGACCCGGGGCGATCACTTCATTAACCACAGCTAACTTCTTACTTTTCCACACTTCACAGTGCATGTCATGACTTCTCCCATCTCTATTTATAAACCAATGACTTAGATATCGATTCTAGACACCAATGCTCTACTTACGGACAACACACATGATAAAAGGGGTAGGAGGATTCTTAGAAAAGCCTAGTGGGAAATTTTTATCTGTTCCTCCATCCCCTCAAAGGTCTCATGCCTATGCATTTTCATACATTTAAGGAGAAATACTTGCAAGACCCAGTATGTCTCCTTTTTGTTATCTGTTCCTCCAACCCCTCAAAGGCCTCATATCTTTGCATTTTCATACATTTAAGGAGGAATACTTAAAAAATCCGATACATCTCCTTGAAGACGGAGCAAATTCGTGCTTGACAAAAATGATACTAACCACAATAACCTGATATACACTCGAGTGCAATGGTCTCATTTTTCTTTACTTTTGCACACTGTAACTTTATTGCACTGCATGTGAATCAACTCACAATGTATCATCCCCTCCTTTAACTTATAGATTTCAACTAGTCATATCAATTATAGAGGCAATAAAGTCCAAAGTGACTGCCACGATGTTATGACTAAATACCATCCTCATATACTGACCTACACATTCTTATGCCATGTTATCATCTTTTTTCATACACCACTCATGTTGTTTATGTGTTGCTCTATTCAGAATGGCTGTATTATGTTATCACTGTTTCTCTTTATGACCTGTAAAGTATTGTGTTGTCTATTTCTTTATTGGGTTTGCTCTCACCTTTAATTGCAAACTGTTCAAGTCCTCTGCTACTACATGTGAAACTATTTTTCTATATCTGTAGATTAATTAAGAAACACAGGCCTGCAGCAAGGGGGGTTCGTGGGGAGGGGGAGGGTTGGGGTTCAACTCCCCTCCCTCTTTTTTGCTGGAAAAAGGTCCCCTCTAGGTAAAATTTTATCCAGGCACACAAAGGTTTCCACTTTTTCAGAAAAAGACCCCCCTTTCTGAAATTGCTAGCTACAGGCCTGATATGAGACTCCTGACAATTTGAAAGCTTAGACGTCTCAATTCTTGATCATGTCTTCCTCACAATGAGAATTCCTATGCTGCTTACCATTTTATATATATTTTTCTTTGACTTGCTCACTCCTCGTTTCTTCACACTGCTCTCTGCTATGATCTCTGAAGTAGGTACTAGTCCGTATCACTGATTATGTCTTCTACAATCCAATCTCTATATCTTCACTGAGTCCTCAACTTTGACCTATAAATTAAAAGAATCGATAACAGGTAATGACTTAATCAAATGAACATTGTTTGCATAATTTGGCTAGTGTGTAGTAACCAGATGCAATTAATTGTCATTTTTTATCTTTACACAATAACTCTTGACTTCAATCTAGAATGTTTTACACGCAATCAATATCATGATCTTTTATTTGTGTTTCCTCTAATTAAGTCCTATGTCAATATGATTATCAAATCCCTAGCTATCTTATAGGGTTTTTTTTTATAAACTTCGACCTGGAAAATCACAAATCAATAATGACCATTTGCCTGACATTTGTTAGTCTATAAAATATTTTCACAAAAGTCAATCACACCCCAGCTTTATATACTACGGCAATGCTACGATCCACATAGGAAATACAGATACGCAGGAACAATCAATTTTCATCTGTTTGAAATGTTCTACATTAAATGTCCTTGTTCACATCCTTTTGCGTACTCAGTTAGTAGTCAGTTTTCATGCATGACAATACAATCCTCTCAACCTCGTTTATTCTAATCTTGTTCACTGCATCGTTTCTCTTTTCATCACTGGTAATCTCGGCTTCATTCGCTCCTTTTATCTTTCGATTTGAACTAGTAATACTAGTAGAAGGCAATAGAGTCCAAAGTGACTGCCGCATGACAGTAATGACTTAGTCATCTTCATAAACTCGTATACACAGAAAGCAGGTTTATTACGAAATCAAGCAATATATTACCGTTACTGATTCCAACCAGCAATACAAACATGCCTTACTCATGTTTTAATGTAGCCAGCAATTCTAAAAGGGAGGGGGGGGGGGGTGTCAGGTCTTTTTCTGAAAGTGGACCTTTTACCATAAAACCTTTATGTACCAATATCAAATTTTACCCAGAGCAGACCTTTTGTCAGCAAAAAGAACGGTTTGTTCTAACCCCCCCCTTAACCCCTAACATGTCAATATCTATGTAACAACAGTAAATGTCATGAAACATTAAAATTTTTGTGCCAACTGTATTATTTCCACTTAACTTTTAATTGTGAGAGACGCATTAACAGTAGGAGAAGTATCAATTAAAATTCTAGCGTGTTACCTGTTAAAATTCTGAGCCAAGGACAGTCGGAAGAGGAAACACGTGTCTAGTTGTTGCTTCAACCTGATGAACAAAATGCAAACGTTAGGGTGTCAGTAACAATCTTTCGCTTCCATAGGCCACGGAAGTACAAATTGAGACTGGCATAATGCCTTAAATCCAGCCGCTAATTACATCATTTGCTTTGGCAACAATATCTGGCTGACTCAAAAGGTCTCCACAGTGTTCCTAATTTCTTCTTCCAGTACATTTTTTTTTCATAAATAAAAAAGTAAACAAGCTCAGTTCCAGAAACATTTGAAGAAGAAAATAAAATTTAAAAGTAAATTTTTAAAAAATTGAACAGATTCAGATATTGATATACTCAATCAAGAAAAAAAAAAGATTCGAAAATGACTCCCAGGCCTGCAAAAAATAAATCAAGTAAAAAAAAAAATAATAATAATAAATACTATTAAGCAAAAAATAAATCAAGTAAAAAAATAATAATAATAATAAATACTATTAAGCAAAAAATAAATCAAGTAAAAAAAAAAAATAATAATAAATACTTAATATATATATATATATATATATATATATATATATATATATATATATATATATATATATATATATATATATATATTTATTTATTTATATATNNNTTATATTTATTTATTTATATATATATATCATAAAAATATGGAAATTTCATAGACAGCAACCTATTCTTGATCAGCTATCCCTGTACTCCAGAAACTGAATACCTTCACTACCTGATGGTTAGGATGTGTGATCTTTATACTTGGGGCTGAGCTTCATATACAGTAGCACAGTAGAAATAAAGCAGCGCCCCGAGTTTCAAAGCTATGACTGCAATCTCTATGCTTGGTGCTGAGCTTCATATACAGTAGCACAGTAGAAATAATGCAGCGCCCCGAGTTTCAAAGCTATGACTGCAATCTTTATACTTGGTGCTGAGCTTCATATACAGTAGCACAGTAGAAATAAAGATTGCTGTTATGGAAAAGGTCAATGAATCAGGGAAATCCCATTTTTGAGGGGGGGGGAGGGAAGAGAAGCTGCAGAGTGCACCTGCCTTCACTTTCTTATCTATGCTGAGAGTGGAAATGAGACCGGATGTTTTTCACCTATTTTTCTGTTTTGTTTCTTTGGGCTAACTCAACCAGATGTCTGTAGAATTCATCTATTACATAACTCATTGCAACCTTCAGAGAAAAACAAAAACAGTAAATATATGACTTTAGGAATGCGTCCATTAATGAGAAAAATACCGGAAAAGAGTTATAACAAAAAATATTATCTTGACAAGTACTTTGAAATGAAAACCACACCAATTTGCACACCACAGGGCACGCCATCCACCTATCCATCTCCATTAACTTCAAAACTTCTTCAGGAGAAGATAAAGGAATCCTCTGATTAAGCATCAATAATCTGCATTAGTAAAATTAGCTAGTTTGTTGACAAGAACCCCTTAAATGTGATAGATTGGCTTTGTGCCCTGCTCCTCCTTTTCCCAATTTTTCAGTCTGTTAAGTAAAACTTAACCTTGGTTATCTGATGGAAACCTCACCCACCTATGCCAGAATTCATGTCAGATATAATAAATATTCAGTCGGATATAATAAATATCCAACAGTGCCTGATACCTCAAAAAAGCTCGATTTATGCATAGTGCAAAATAGCAGATATATTAGGTTGTCAAATTATCAAATTTTCATTTAAAAATATTCTCCATGCACTACTAAAAATCAGCTTCCTTTTTTCAGTCTGTATTATTCTTATGGAATATATACCAAGTCTATAAATGGCACCACACATAACTTCTTCATGTAACCTACAGTCTGTCTGTCTGTCTGCTAAGCCTCCCCAGAGCCTATTTCCAATTCATAATAACAGCGTGTACCATACAATAACAACATGTATCCTACCATAACACGAGTGCTGTACCCTGATATTTTGACCACACCATACTGACTACGAGCAAATTCAAAATAGATGATCTGCGAACTAGCTGATCTGCCGACCAAATATGGCCTGCCCCACATAAAAGCAGCACCATTTAATCCCCCGATGGTCTCCCCGCCTCCACACACGCCATTAAATGGATTAAATCTGAGCTTCGAGCTTTACTTGCGAGGCCCCTGCAGTGCCAGCATGTGTGGAGGTGGGGAGACCATCAGAGGATTAGGCGATGCTGCTTTTCAGTAAGGCGGCCATCTTTAGTCCACGGCAGGCGCTGATGTAAGCTGTCTTCTGGGTCTTCCGGAAGACGGTCAGATTTTCAAGTTTACATTGATGGGTATCATATGTTTTCTGTCGGAAGACGGTCAAAATGGAGGATGGACCAACAAAGATAGTTGTGAAGACTGTCAGAAAATATCTCTGAATCCGCCCCTGCACGGATCTATTTGTTCTGAATGTCCTCTATAACATTATCACAGTCTGTATTGTGGCTGTAACAGTATATAACACCACAGATGAATGCAGCTTACAGCCCCCAGCTATGTGCTGATCCAATTGCCATCTTTTGTCAAAGAATTGATTTAGAACAAAATATTGTATTTCACTCACTTTTTTTCATTCCATTACCTCAGTATGTTTCTCTTTTATTTACTTTGTCTCTTTATATCCTCTTTCAACTTAAAAGGTTCAATGACTGTTCAAAAGAAAGAAAAGTATCTATAGTTAATCATTTTTTATTTGCTACTCCCTTACTCTTTCAAGTCTGTGTTTTTCTGTCTGTTTGTCCATCAATCAGCATGTCTGAAAATCTGCCATTCTGTTAATACATCACTCTTCCATCAATCATCCTACTTAAATGTACCTGTACTTTATATGCTACAATGGACCAATTCCCTTCCTGTATTACATCTAATCAAATACAGACTGGGCATTGACCTCAACATGGTTTTACTTGTTGCAATTTGCACAGTACATCCAAAACAGATTGCATCGGTTATTTTGCATCAGCATTCGTGGCAGCTGCCAACAACAGTTACGTTATAGGATATAATAGATCCTTCTCCTAACTCGCCAGTAGCAGCAATAATGAAAGTAAAGTTTTAGCCAAATTAAGGAGGTTATAATGAAAAACAACACTTAATTCAAACTACGGTAATATCTTGCCAATATTACCATCAGAAAAATCTGGAATTTTTCCAATTTGAATTTTAGGTGAAAAATTTGAATCGCTTCCCTGTACACATTCAGCAAAACAAAACAGAATCATGCGTTGAAAATCAAAGCACTGCCTCCTGTTTAGACAAATATGTATGCGCAAATGTGAAAACCTGTCAATTCAAAAATATGGTGCCATTCATTGCTCTTATCATACTCTGTTGTTGTTGTTTTTTAAACGTGAAAACCTGTCCATAAAAATATGGTGTCATTTTTTGCTCTTACCATACTGTTTTTTTTTTTTTTTTTGCTTTCTGTGATACTTTTTTTTAAACAGCAGAGAATCGGTGCATGTGCATTAAGACCCTTATATTCATAGCTGGTTTTGCAGAGTTATTCGAATTGCTGCCAAAAATCAGGTTCGCTCGCAGGATTTTTAAAAAACAGTTAACAGATATGCATTTATACTACACAACTGTAATTATTTGAAACGCATCTCAATTTGCTATTTATCATGATAAATGGCTAAAGCGTGAACATGGTATAAAAAAATTAACAAATAAATAAGGAAAGAAAAAGAAAAAAAAACAGCTGAATATTGTCACCTACTAACTCCAACAAAATTAATAAGATAATTTACATCTAGTTGCTCACATGTCCCTAGTTTTGTGTATCATAAAGAAACCATTATATGTAAAAAGCCCAGGAACCTGTATTCTTCGTAGTGATTCATCACCTACTTCCAGGCAATTCCAGATCTCTGCACGATACGTACTTCCATCAAAACAACTGAGCAACTCAAGTGATTCACCCTGCTCTTATAACTTCTGTTCATCAACTGGTTTCCCCAATCTCTTTGTGATGAAACTGCATAATACTGGAAAATTACACTGCCTAGAACAAAATGATTCAAAAACAGGGAGAGAGGGAAAAAAAAAAATCAACAACTTCCCAATGGTTCTCCAGACAAATCATCCAATTGAACAGTGATCCACTCTAATGTAGCATCATCCAATTCATTAGATGTCATTTCAATGTCAAGTTGCTTCAGTGTTGTGTTTTGGCTGCACAATGCTGATAAACCTTATTGCCTCAGAAAACAGAATGCCTATAAAAACTAGGAGAACAGAGCTGCGATACTGCTACCAGGTTTTGTACCACCAGCAGGATTATATATATATATATATATATATATATATATATATATATATATATATATATATATATAAACCATGCCGCCTCCTGGTGTTGATAAGATTAGAGAAAAGCTGGAGATTATGTGAGCACGTTGGAAATGAGGAGGCATGTTAATCTCTTACCGTAAACTTATTGCATTAAGGAGAGAATCCCTGTGGAGTTGGATCGATCAACGTAGAATGATGGTTTCATTGGGAATGACCCCTTAGACCAGTGTTTGCCTCTTAAGAAAAATTAGTTGCTGGACTGAAAGCCCAGCCATCTTGAAAAGTAGCCGGACTGAATGTCTGTCGGGTGGGAAAACTTTTTAGCCCGTTCTGAAAGTTGTCAGCCCCGGGCAGACGGTCCAGCGTTAGTTTCTAACACTGCCTTAGACTGAAGATTTAGACTGCTGACCTCTTTGCCATAAACCTGCTTCGCTACCACACAACCACCCCCTTTATTACCACATATTTTCCCTAGGATAAGGCTCCATAATGCACAACTTCCTGATGTATCTAAGATAAAAAATACCACAATGCTCGTTGGACTGACTTGATTTTTTAACAGTCAGTGAGCTTAACCTGTTAAGTAAATCCAAAGCAACAAAAAGCTGAAAATGAAGAGGTATGCCTTTAATTTTCCTTTTTCGCAAGCCTATTGTCCTTTAACTCACTTCCTGTATTCCAAAAATCTGAAACAAACCAGGAGTTGACAGAAACATCTTAGGTAAGCCTTCTAAGACTTTAAGTCTCCTAAGCTCCTTACCTCAAAGTATTTGTGCTATCTAATCTCACAATTAAATCTGATGACAACTATGGTCTCCTTAGTAAGGAAAGTATCAACTAACACTTTTAAGAGTGCATTCAGAGCAGTGGACTTATAAATCTGCAGATCAGATATGGTGATCAACTAAGATCGCATTCACAACGAGTTGAGCCAGGCTTTACAAATCCTGGGGACTAAATATGGCAGACGTACATGAAAGAAAAACCGCCTAATCTTTTAATAGTCTCTCCGCCTCTCACACTCCTCCCCACACGTCGTCCCTGCGGGGGGACAGTCATTAAATCTCGGCTCCATTGGGACGACACATGGGGAGGCGTATGAGAGGCTGAGAGACTATTAAAAGATTAGGCGGTTTTTCTTTCATGTACGTCTGCCATATTAAGTCCCCAGGATTTGTAAAGCCTGGCTCAACTCGTTGTGAATGCAATCTAAAAAGCTTGTTACTTAATTCCCAATTAGACACTGAATAGATTCCTCGCGGGGATTACGCAACAAACATTAAAGTGGGTCGGCCATATTTGATCCGTGGATCTGTTAGCCTGCTGTTCTGAATGTGTTCCAAGTTGACAATATTTTCATAAAATAGTTGAACAATGCTGTGACTTATGCAAATTCATGCCACCAGCTAGTAGCAGACAGTCAGGCTAAGTGAGGACAAAAGATGAGAATTTACAAAGGAAAAAAAATCCATGAATATTCTGCTGAATTTCTATCCCTCATGCACTTCTCAAATTCCAGTTCTGAAACAACATACATCCAAATGAATGCGGCACAATGCTATATAAAACCACAATGATGTAACTCACTGACGTCAGAATATCCCTGCCATTAAGTAATAGGTAATGTCAAGAAGTAATTAAAGATAGGATTTCCAAATGATCAACCTGAGTCCTTGACTTACTTTGGATATATTACGTGATGTTCATGTGGAAGAAGGATTGAAAATAAAGATAATCTTTAGCTCCTGGTCAATCTGCTCGTTAATGTGTTTTTTCTCAGACTGTCTGTCTGTCTGTCTGACTGTCCACCTGCTTGCACACCTGTCTGACAACCTTCCTGTCTGTCTGTCTGTCCGTCTGTGTATCTATCTGCCTGAAAAAGATAACACCCTATGCCTCAAATTAAAACTATTAACCAGTTTACTTCCTGCTCACAATTCAAATAACTGGAGTTTTACTGCCAATAAAAAATTAAACCAGACATTAGATGAAAAGAAATGGTGCAATTGTTACATACAATTCTGCCTATTCCTTTGCAATTTAGGTGTGTTTCCATTCACCTTGAGTCTACCCAACTTGGGAACACCCATCTTGGAAACCTGGATGCAGATAGCTATTTCATCATAGGACATCAACTGAAGGATTTTTGGCTCTATAACCTCAATTAAGAAGGTTGAGGTTGACAGAGCAAAATACAAACTGCCCGTTGAGACAGATGATCACTTATGTCGGCCTAACTTCACTGGAAATGCGCCCTAAGTTGTTTTGCAGACAACGGTAACTGCCTTGATGGGTACACTAGTCCGACAATCATCTTCAGCCAGACAGGGTTACAAAGAGGATACATATTCAATGCTACTTATCAGTTATCACTGCAGCTTTTCTGGTTTCTAGTGTCAGTCAGGATTATTATGCCATGCTTTCCAGAGGTAAAAAAACCTCTACGGAATCCTTATGCATGTATATGATGCATGTGCAGTGAGCATCTTCTGAATGCTGCACTTTAGATTATGTAGACCTTGGCTTTCAATTGTAGGGGAAGGAAGGGCACTGGTAAACTGGTAAACACACAGGCCTTATAAACAAATCTAGTGTTTACTAACACTACCTGTAGATCTTTTAGCACTAACATCCATATTAACCTCATAACCCACAAATTAACCAGCACTACCAGAGTGGATGAATGTTAGTGCTAGGTATTGCTTTGTTGGTGCTAAATAAATGTGCGGTGTGTTGGTTAATTCGTGGGTTGAGTGGTTAGTATGGGTGTTAGTGCTAAAAGATTTGCGTGTAGTGTTAGTAAACACCTAATCCATTTATAAGGCTGTAACACAGGTCTGAGTAAAAACTGGAGTGTGGACACCATTGGAGCTATTATGCAGGGTTTTTTTAAATAATGCTTCTGTACAAACATTTTGTTCATCACTACAATCCATGAAGGATAACATCACGATAATCTAGAAGTTAAAAAAAGGGAAATAAAAGCAAACAAGACATGATATTATTTTGCACCCTCAGCCGCCCTGGGAGTCAAAGCTTCAGATCACTATAATATCAGTACTAGTATCCTTCAAACATAAGGCATTTATTACCTCTGCCAAGGAGGTTATGTTTTCACCCCTGTTTGTCTGTCTGTCTGTCATCAACATAACTCAAAAAGTTATGGACTGATTTTGATGAAATTTTCAGGAACTGTCAGAAGTGGGCCAAGGAACAGATGATTAGTTTTTGGTGGTGATCCGGGTCAATAATCAATAATAATCAAAAATCGCTGCCTTGGTGGAGGTTTGTGCTCTGGGAGTGCTGTTCTAGTTTAGTATTGCAATGGTCTTCATACTTTATGTACTGGGTTGCAATCTTACCACTAAATTACTATTATTACTCAGATACAGAGGCCTTGTCCAGTAGATTTTAATTTCAATCACTTTCACCAACAGATTTTTTTTTTGGCTGCACATGTCATTAGGTTGTTTTTTCCCCTCTCCCCCCCCCTCCTCCCCACCCCTGTGAACTTGTCATAATCAGACTCCCAGTTGGGGATAAACCATCCACAGTTAGTTGAACCCAACTTAAGTGGAAACACGTCATACTTTTGTGGTCCAAAATTGAGAAAATGGAATGCCCGAGTCATTAGGTTTACCAGTGCATTGCATACTTTCACCAATGAATGCCATAGAGTGATAATGAGAACATTATTTTTCTGCGAAATAACGTCATATACTAAACATGACATGACTTCAGCTCGCACTGTCTGGAGTGGTATTAGGTAATAGCTTAGACAAATGCCTGTTATGCGTGCACTATTGACATGGAAATCAACCCATAACAGTTTTTCAAGGATAAACAAAATGACAGACTATTGTTTGTACTGCCATCATGTTTTTCAATCTTTGTAACACCTTCCATTTTGCATTTTAAAAGTATTTCACCTTTATTAAAATTTGAATTCAACTGTTTTATTTTTTAAAGGCAAAACAATAAATATATAAATAATAATTTGGGCCAAATGACACCAACTTTTTAAAGATTTCAATAATATGAAAGCAACCAAAGTGTAATCCTCTCTATTTTTTATATCAATGNGAGTTTTTAAAGGATAAACAAAATGACAGACTATTGTTTGTGCTGCCATCATGTTTTTCAATCTTTGTGACACCTTCCATTTTGCATTTTAAAAGTATTTCACCTTTATTAAAATTTGAATTCAACTGTTTTATTTTTTAAAGGCAAAACAATAAATATATAAATAATAATTTGGGCCAAATGACACCAACTTTTTAAAGATTTCAATAATATGAAAGCAACCAAAGTGTAATCCTCTCTATTTTTATATCAATGCTTATGTTTAAGAGAAAGCAAACACTTCTCTACAATATTCAGACTTCAGTGGAAAGAGGCACTTGTTTGTGTCAGATGAAGCTAGTTTTGTGGCTAATTACAACTTCCTATCATTCCTTAAAAATAACACTGAAATTCAAAGTTATGCAAGGATGCTTTAAATGCTGAGAGACAGAAAAGAATATCTATTGAGGTTGGGAAAAAATTGGATAACACGCTATGATGAAGTGATGGTGTGATAAACGTGTTCACCATCATACAAGGAAGTATTTCGTGCTAGTTATTTGTGACCTATGCCTTGTTTCACACCTAATTGATCTGATTTCTCCTATAAACATCTTGCAGTTATCTTGACAGCCTTTGGGTTGGAAGTAATCTTTATGCTTTTTATAACCTACATCATTAAATTTCCTCGAGTTACTTAAAACAACTGCCAGGAATTTTTAAAAAAACCCAATATATTACATACATGTTGTATTGGGCAGACATAAACATAAAAACCATAAAAATTGATAAATAGTAAAAGAGAAATATCTGCAACTTGGATTTTGCGATATGTGTATCCGTACTGCATATTATCTGAGGTAACATAATTTCTTCCATTGGAAACAATGTTGTAATTATTAATCAATTCTAAAAGTTTTCTTACCTTTTGTGATTTCTTCCTAGTAATTTCCTGATTAATTATAGTATTTCACTGGCGTATATCTGAAAACAGAATAGGCATCATGTAGAACTATGTTTTGACAATTTAAAAATGACTGGAAACTGTCAAAATAAAAATCCTTTGCCTCAAAAATGATGCAGAATATATATATATATATATATATATTTTTTTTTTTTTTGGAACCTATTTAGACCCTACCACTGAACCGACACTCATACTTTCTACTGGAACTTGCATCGTAATTACTGTGGGATTTCATCAGACACTTTCACTGAACTTTGAGCCGATTTATCTCCATTCACTCTCCAGTCGACGGATTCACATCGGACTTTC